CGTTTGCCTTATAGATTATGTTAACACGACATTTTTAAAAATTTGGCGCATCTGATCTCTTTCTAGTGGCTGTACCTCAGCTTTTCTGCTTATGTTGTCATTATTGGACGAAGATTTATTTTCGTTACTAACTGCGTCACAAAAATCGTGCTTGTTAGTGTCCGAAGCAATTTTTTCCAGCGGCAGTTAGATTTTAAGGGAAAACTTATTTAATCGGCAGACCAACATTCGACTGCCATAATTTATCGGAAGGCATAACTGAACAGCAATTTTTGCTTAAAGATTAGCGTTTTGACCAAATTTACCACAATCTAAACTCACGTTTTACATAGCCACGTTTTCCAAATAAGCTGGTATACCCCTTTTTTCGATGCATTTTAATTTGCTTTTTTGGACTATGATTTATTCGTATATTGTTTGGTGAGCTAAAAAAGTGGATGGAATCCTTTAGAGCCCCATACTAATAATGGTGTTCTATGCAACTAAAAGTGATCGGCAACTACCAATAAGTAGGACAATATTAAAAAATTAAAGCCCATTCGTGGTCTTGCATATAAAAGCGTAATAGACTGGGTCACCAAATAAAGGAATATGTTTGCGATTAGATCTGTTGCAGTGTTATTGACCAAATATAACTCAAGATCGGCTATACAAAAAGTCACTTACATAACGAGACTCTTACTGTAACTGTCTTCAGCGAAAAAGATCTTCCCATTTTCATCACCACAAGGGCTTTGCAACTTTAAAAAGTTACATATTCTTAAGTGATGTCTAGTATATGCAGGTGATACGATTAAAGAGATTCCTTAATGGCTTTTCTTATTATGTCCTAGATTAAAAATTAGTGCATGAAAACTGATATTCACTAAAAATACCTAGTGAATACACCTTGATCTTCCGACTAGACATGAAAAACTCTCGAGTAAAAGAGTGCTTTGCTTGATCCACTCATTTCAGAAGCACATTATAATACAGGCACTATCACCAAATATAATTGATTTCCGTTGCTATACTTAATCTAACCATTAGCAAAATTACATCAACAAAATCGAATAAGACTAATCAGGAAAGCAGTGGATGAATAATTTATTCCAAGATTCTACGTTTTAACCTGCAGAAGTTTGAGGGTTTGGAAGGAATCATTACTTGAAGGTAATTGACAACTAAAAGACAATGGTCGACAAACCTATACTTTCAATGGGTTGACCGCTGACATTCCTTTGTGGTGAATACCATTTCCCTATACCAGTGTTACGAGAGGCTTTTTCACTTTAATTTAACAAACAGATTTCGACATAGGTCATTTTATTAGTGCTAAAGCCATCTGAAGAGTCATAGTTCCTCAATCTTAAGTTACTACTATTATACTACAAATGTTTATATTCAGTTATTTCGGCACCGTAACGTGAAATTTATCATTTTTAAGTATTAGGGAAACAAATTTTTGTTTAATTTAGGCGATCAATATGATGTGTCACGACATAAAGCCTCACTGCGGACTGCATGGAGGAATTATTAATAGTAACTTGGGATTGTTTAATGAAAGTTTAGTCCTTAGCAGCCCATACAACAAGCATTTGACAAATTATTATCTCACGCTGTCTCTGTATCACTTACAGAATGTAGAATCTAGAGCTATACATATTTGAAAACCAAAGAATTTAAACCTGATTTGTTTAATATTGGGCTATCTAGAACGTAAATATTTATTCATTTATCAATAAGTTAATGACTGATATCCGGAACAATGCATGACAATTCAGTTTCAAATACGCACAATACTCGGCACTCATAGTTTTAATGACCATTAAAGAATCAAAACATTTAGAAACCCATAAAACTTTATATACGACAAATTATCATTCTGTGAGGGTGATAAACACGAATATAAACATGTATTTGCGAAGTTATTCACGTATAATAGAACAACTTGAGATGTATACATATATTGAGCCCAAAATAAATGAAACACTCGGGCCTACCAAATGCACCGGCTATTTTATAATATTAATAGTAATTGTGAGTTATATATAGATACAATATTTAAGAGCGAACCATGTCGCTTTTATAATCAAAACGAATATGAGAAATTATCTGAGGTTTAAACAGAACCTAGTTTAAGTGGGAGTTTTCAAAATCAGGCGAATAATGTTAAAAACTTCGCATATATCTGGAGCACACGAAAGATTAAAACAATTATAAACACTAATTCCATCTGACTCCTGGTGTTACTAACCCTTGGAACGAAAGGAACTTACTCTATATTCAACACAAATATATAGAGAATAGCAAACTTCTAGAGTCAGATTGGTCGACAATTTCTATCGAACCATATGATTCGATGTAACATATTTTTCGTTCGAGAATCGCTGAGTGGTAAGAAAGCACAACAAACAATCATGTCAAAACCTCTCTGCATAAAACTATCATAAATTCCTTATCACTCAAAACGAGTACGTTAGTGGAATAAAAGGTTAAAATAAAAATACCTGAAGGACACTCTGATGCCGCGATAAGTTGTTGCGCAAGAAGAATGTTTTGTAATTATACACTACAAAAGATAAAACAAAACAAAGATTAATTGCACAATAATGTTCATTCCAAAATGGTTAAATTTAAATCACAGAAAAATTCGCATGCAGTTATATTTTTTATTATTTGTAGAAACTGAGCAAAGAATTTTTGCGGGATCTGATAGATAGTGTGGAACATGATTTTGAGGGTTTTACGTTGGTAATAGTCGACAGAATCAAGGAGCTTAAATGATGGAAAGTAGCTAGGTTCATTAGGAATGCTGTTGTATCTGCCATTATCGATAGTGTATCTTGCGAAAGTGATGAATTAGTTAGTTGCAGCTTGAAATGCAAAGGACAAGAGCTGTTGATTGGTTTGGTCTGTTGCAGTCCAAGCTGTGAGGTAAGTGAGGTCTTGCTAAACTGTCTCAATACTTGGTCACAAAGTGGTAAATATCTAATCCTAGGAAGTTTTAATGCACCCACGATAGACTGAAAAATTCTGAGATCTGAATCATCAGTTAATTCCTTCGAGTAGGAACTAGTTGATAGGTTTATTTCATATGACCTTGAGCAACACGTGAAGGAATCGACTAGGTACGACCCGGACACTGAATCATCCTTACTAGATCTCATATTGACCCATTACGACGATGACGTTATGAACCTCGATTACATGCCACCCCAAGGTAAAAGTCATCATGCAGTTCCAACTTTGACTTCGTATAACTATCAATAAAGTGCGCTCGTCAGATCAATCCGGACCTAATGCCTGAAAAGCAAATATCCCGGATATTGTACATTCAACAGCGTCAGTAGAGCCAGGGTCTCCAAATGAAGTGGCTTAGGATGTACTTAGAAATTTATACTTAAAAAGTACTGCGTCCCAAATCCCTTGGACTATACCGACGGGGCCAAGAAACTCACAATCATTGTTCATTAAGAAGTTCCGCATCATCTCCGTAAGAGAAGAAAAATGTGGGATAGATTCAGGTCACTGAAGACTGATGGGACGAAATCTGAGTATCGAAAAGTTCAGAATACCTGTGCCTCGACTCTCTGTAAATCTAGAAGGCTATAATAGGAGAAAATTTTCAAGGAACCCATGAAATATCCCAAACGCCAGTACTCCTATATAAACCAAAGGACAAAAAGAAGAGGAAATATTCCTGCACTATGGGGAGAAAGTACTGCCGCACCATTAATGGTGGACGACTTTGGTAAGACTTGTGTTCTCAAACTACTTTAGCAATGTATATTCCATAGAAGCACCTTTCCCATCAGCGCATACAGGTTCCCCCACACATACACAGGATAGCGTGAACATTAAAGAACTCGATGTCTTTGGTCTGCTAAATAAGCTTGACATAGGTAAATCCACGGGGCCCGATGAATTACATCCTAGGCTACTGAAGGAATTATCTAACTTCGTTGCAAGCCCTTTAAGTACATGCTTTAACATATCCGTTACGCAGGGTCGTTTACCAGAAGACTGGAAAAACACCATAGTAAGTCCTGTCTTCAAAACAGGTACGAAACACAAACCTGAGAATTACCGCCCCGTTAGCCTAACTAGTGTGGTTGTTAAAATCTTAGAAAAGATTATTTGGAAGGAGCTGTTTAAGTAGCTCGATGAAAACTGGATCCATTCAGAGAAGCAGCATCGTTTAAGAATAGGTCGTTTCTGCCTCACTGACTTATTAGTGGTTCGTGAAAACTGGTGCGCTCTTAAAGATCAAAACATCAAAACCGTGTAAAACAACAAATTTAATTTGACTGAAGGTCTACAGGTGCCAACTTCATGTTACTGCAAATTGTCTATACATTCACAAGTGCCTGTCAAACAACTACATTAGCAGAACAAAAAGCAGATCATATCATGAATTATGGAACATGTGCTAAGGAACTTAAATAGGATAGGACTACTTCGAATGGCCTAATCCCTAGTAACGCTCTGACAAAGCACATCTAGCCGACGTCCTGAGATCGTTCATGGTGACCCCCGACTTCTCGAAGCCACTGCATTCAGGTGTCAGAAAGCTGACATGTTTAGGAGAGAGTTGTTAATCCAGACGGTTCTCGACTATTCTGGATAAGTAATTTCATCCTGATCTCTAGTCGTTTTAATCGTATGTTCCACTCCTAGGTTTTAGGTCATTTCTGAAATCAAGTTCATCAGACGTTTAGTATTATTCCATCCGGTCACCGAAATATATCTACACCTTTGTAATACGGTACTGAGATATTCTTAAAGCAAGTTACAATCAAACTCCTTTTTGTGATTTAGACTAATTTTATGATTATGATTCTTACATATTACAGGTAGTAAGCAGCCGTCAGAAGATAACTAAATAAAATGAATTCATGTCATTCTACTTAAACTTATGTTAGTTTTTTATTCAAGATGACTAACGGTAACTCCGCGTATGGACACATTTCAGCAAGGTCGCATCGAATACATGATTTTTACGACAAAAAGAATGTTGGTCCGCATAAAATTAATTTTACTAACAAAGCATTATTATCATTAATCATATAACACCATAAATTAACTTTATTTTCCTTATGAATTTATTTATACATATTTCTCTAGAAAATGAGGTGGAAAAACCAGATAAGAAAGCAAAAAACACCAAAAAAGCAGTAAATCAACCAAAACAAATTACCGGTATGATCAAAATATAAAAAAGAACCAAAGGAACTCTATAAAATGCCATTAATTGAGGTGGTTTATAGTACAATAAGCGTTATACCAAAAAAAATTGGAAAGGGGAACAAATTACATGGTTTAAAAAACGATAATGGTTTATGATTTGGACCAGGTAGGTATAGGAAACTGTCGAACACGAACACTCGATTCATCCAGTCGATCGACAGGATGAAGATATATATTTAATGTGGAAAATATTTGACGATTGAGTACTGAGAAACGACTTAAACGAGCCGCCATTCGTTCCAGAGACTAAATGGTAAAAAAATGAGAGGGAAACTATTAATTTAAAATAAATAAAATAACTTTAACATCGACTGACGAACTCTAGTATGCTGAGTCACCAAGTAACAGTACTCATAGAGGTAATTCGAAAAACAACACAGAATTTTTAGAAGCTTGGCACTCAGGTCAATCAGCAATCAACAAACACATTGAAATTGATTCAATTTATCAATCAATCATGAAAACTATGCACAAGTATAGGAACAAAAACCAAACCAATGGGAGATACATCCAAAACAAAGTAGACTATGACTTGTTTAAGGTCAACATGAACCAATCAACATCGAGGTCTACAGGACGAGCTATAAACTACATGTGGGGAAATTTGAACACTTCACTTGTACCTGAAGTCTGTGCTGATGATGTCATTCAGAAGAACGATGAGATCACAGAACAAAACTCCATCAAGCATTCAAAGCTCTTTACTAAGATTGAAATCGATTCAATTTAAATTTACCCTCTGTAAATTACTTAGTAATTAAACTATCAAAACAGTGGAATAATTTACCAGAGTAACAATTAAAATGTCAAATTAAAACGGACAGATATAATAACATATTCATAGATATAACTTATTATTTAAATAATAATAAAACGTACAACTCCCATTGGTGTTGCATCTTTTTTATCGATTCGTTGTAGTCGTAAAATAAGACTACCAAAATCAAGTGCTTCAAATTGACGTTGTTGACCTAATAATAAAATGATTGCACATCCAGCCCAATTTAATCCTTCACCAAACATTTCTTCAACTGTATATTCATTTTGCCCAAATGGTGTACAGAATACTAATTGAATAGCAGACCATAGACGATGAAAGTGTGTATAACTTTCTAAGCCGAGTATATCATTATTATAATGTGTAGTAGTTCCATTACATATAGAACTACGTTTGGCAATATTGGAAAGACGATCCCAAGTATTTCCATCAGAATCTTCTTCATGAAGAAAGTTTTTAATTTTATTAAGGACCTATTCATGCGAAGTAGAAAATGAAAAAAAAAATCAGGAGAAATTAAAACAATAAAAAATGTGAATTTCTAATCATGAATTCGCAATCTGTAGAGAAATCGAAGTAAGGCAGACAACTACTGTCATTGAAGTAACTACTTCTATGCATTTGGTGTTCATCTTGTTGTGCTAATGAGGTATGGCAACTTGGACTGTTGCATATGTGTGATCCTACGTTGTAGCTGTCTGAGACAACTACTGTACTTCCGTACAATTATTGCATCTGGTATACATAAATTTTTAGCAATCCTATAAACATCTCAAATATGTAACTATTTTACACAAGTCCTAATTAATTTTGAAGTAGCCCGAGTGACGAAGCAACAACGTACACTATAGATTTCGGTAAACCATGCTTGTATGTTCTATATTACACAGCCATCCATTGAAATATGTTTTATAAATTGAAGCATTCAATGATAAACAATTCATTATACAGCCAGGAATTATGTATGAAAATCATCTCTGTTGTTACGATTATAAGAATCATAACTTACAAATTCGAATAGTGTTAAACCAGAACAAAGTCTCTCTTTCGTTAATATTTCATTCTCTTTAGCTAAGGACAATTGCTGTGTGAATAAAAGAAAAGAGAGAGTTTATAATTAAAAGGAGTAAATTCAACATGAAAATAACTCAAGCTTCAACTTGTTAAGTTGAATTACCCGTGAAACTGGTTGACACGATATCGAATCCGTCAGGGATTACAGGTAACCTCACTAATGAGTGGCATACAGCACAAAACCTACGTCCAGGATTCCCTGACAACTACCTTCAACTACTATTTCGACCAGTAGATCATGTGTTTAAATTCATTTCTTGTCATCTTTGTCTTTTTAACACTAAAAATTGTATAATTGTGTGTTTTATGGAGTTTTGTCTAGTTTGGAGATGGTTTTCATCACGGGCTAATACCTGTCGAAGAATCACTGAAATAGAGGTATCTGTTTTATTTTTGGTTGGGACTTCTTCAGTGGTGCTCAAGAGTGACTCCATGGGAAATTGCACTCCTAACATCCAGGTTTTGCGGCAACCACACTTACTTATGTACATATTTATGCCTTACCCCTCCTTGAGGAGCATAGGCCACTCGCTCACTAACATTCTCCATCCAACTCTGCCATGGACAATTCATTACAGTTCTTTCCAGTTGCCATTCATCTTTTTTCATGTCTGCAGTATGTTGTTTAGCCTGCCTCTTTTCCATTTCCCTTCACGATTCCAAGTTAGCGCTTGTCTTGTGATGCAGTTTAACGATTTCCTCAATGTATGTCCTATCCACTTCCATTATCTTTTCCTAATTTCCCCTTCAGCTGGAAGCTGGTTTGTTCTTTACCACAGTAGGCTGTTGCTGATGGTATCCGGCCAAAAAAACATTGAGTATCTTGAGTAGATAGTTGTTTATAAATACTTGTAAGTTCTTGATTATGGTTGTGATAGTTCTACAAGTTTCAGCTCCGTTCAGTAGAACTGTCTCGACGTTCGTATTGAAGATTCTGACTTTGATATTGGTTGACAGTTGTTACGGGTTCCGTATGTTCTTCGACTGTGGGAATGCTCCTCTTACTTTGCCGATTCTTGCCTTTACGTCTTCACCAAATCCTTCTTGTTCATCGACGATGCTTCCCAGGTACGTGAAAAACTCTACTTGTTCTAGAGCTTCCTTATCTAATACGATCGGGTTAGTGTTCTCCGTGTCGTATTTGAGGATCTTGCTTTTCCCTTGTGTATGTCGAGTCCTACTGATGTAGAGGCTGCTGCTACACTGTTTGGCTTGACTTGCATTTGTTCGTGTGTTTGTAATAGAGGAACTACGCCGTCTGAAAAGTCCTGGTACTGATTGCAGTGTGATGTCTCTATTGTCATTAATGATGGGTGCACAACATTGGATAACAATCATTGTGATTCCCTTCTTCTTTATTTTGACGGATGATTTGATTATTCTAGGTTCATGAGATTCCCATCCTATAAGTTCTTAACGTGCTTCTTTGTAAAGTATTAGAGCAACTCCCTGAGTGTGTAGAGAATTTTCCTGTTTGTGACCAGAGTAAAGCAGCATCTCTGCCGAATCTATCCCTTTCGGTCCAGCTTGTGTCCAATGGGTTTCATTTATTTCGAGAACCGTCAAATTGTATCTTCTCGTTTCTGTTCCCATTTGACTGGTCCTCCCGGTCTCCTACATTGTGTGAACATTCCATATACCTATAAAAATTGTTATTCCGGTTGCAAGAAGAGGCATCGGCCTCGTGACTTTTGTATAATCTCGGGTTTCACCCTATTAGACAAATTATAGTTTATTTACTATTCAATGGGAGAAAAATGTATAGTTTTTTTTGTTATCAGAGTGAAACATTTTAAGTGGAATATACGTGACAGCATGGAGTTTAGTGAAGAAATAATAGTAATTCCGGTTACCCACTAAATAGGAGGCATTTAAAAAGAAAAATCTTGATATATATATATATATATATATATATACATCACTTGTTTCACTTTCTTTTGTAGATTGAATTGGTACTTCATCTTTGTTTCATACTTTGTCCGTTTTCACTGTATTTCTATGCTGATATAAAATTGGACAATTTAAATTGATACATATTAGTAGATAGACTTCCTTAAGATGATGACCGAATTATTTCAAGATGTCATCTATCTCAAATTGACTTATAAATTAATCTAGTTATTATTATTTATTTTAACACATAGATATTGGTACAAGGAGGCACCAAATAGATATGCGCCACATAAATCATCCGATTTGTGTGAGGGCTGCGATACTGCCCGGTTGCCCAAACCGAAGCAGGTGGTTTTCTTAGGGGACCACACCCCGAGCTTTTGACCCACAAGGCAGTGGAGCATCGTGAGGAGATGCAGTCCCATGGTAGCCGGTGACCAAAAACTGGTCCATACGCTGTTTGTTCCCACAGGATACTGGAGCCCATGTGCACCATTGGTTTGGGATCCGGTTAAGGCGCCGGACATTCGTTTTTCGTCCTCTCAATTTCGTAAACAACACCCCCGTCACGAGAAGGCAGTGGGTAGGACTTCCCTGGCAGAGGCTGCATATGCGTGGCCGTGTGAGAGCATTTCGAGAGAGAGGGCGGGCCCACCCCTCTCGGCCATTAATCTAGTATAATACTCTACAGATTAGTTCGCACAATTAAATCAATATAAACAATGAAACGATTGAGAGAATGAACAAAAAGGAAACACTATTTTAAAAAAATATATAACACAAGATTAGAGAATGATAAATACATATAGATCACGTAGATTTGCATATAAGATTTTATTAACTTACATCTTCAGTACCAATACGTGATACAACTAATACAATATTCATTGATTCTTGTTTCTTTTGTAATTCCTTGTATTGAATTTCACGTTCACGTCTTAATTCATTAATTGATTTACCTTTTAATCCTTCTATAATGAGTAATAGAGAATAGAAAAGGAACAATATCAGTAACAATAAGTGAACTAGTTGTACATTACATATATCTCATTATTATTATTATTATTATTATTATTATTATTATTATTATTATTATTATTATTATTATTATTATTATTATATAGAAACAATTTTGGTATAACAGAATATCAAGAATTGCACCAATATACACAAGTCAGGATTTGCCCAATTCTTCAGATGTATCCTTTGTACTTGTCAGACACTAATCATATAAAGGAAGTAAAACTTCTTTGGAAAATAATATTACATATGTCTATATATTCCATATTCCTATTGTAGTCCTCATCAATATACAAAGGCTATGTATCAACAACAACAACAACAAAAAAAAACAGTCCAATGAAACCATCGAAAATATCAACACCATGAAAAAAGAAATGGGATTTCACAGGTTTCTTTCTTTCTTCTATGACATACTTCATATCTGTTATTAGTGTTGTTGTTTTGTTTTTCAGAATTCATGTTAAGTTTTCGATTATTGTTTGTTTTTTTTTGTTGACTAAAAACAAATAAGGATGATTGATTGATATAGGAAATTGTTTATTGAACTTTTAATTAAAGTTTAAATAATTTTTTTAAAAAATCAATAGAAAAAAAAAGAAAAAAAATTAATTAAATGATACATTTTTCAATTGCATAGTAACTAGTGACTAAAATCAATCAATGTTTATAAAACTCTACACCATTGAATCAAGAATTTTTCTAACTCACTAACGAAGTTTATTTAAACACATAAACATTCATACAAGGAGGTATCAAATAAATATACACCATATAAATCATTCGATTTATATGAGGGCTGAGATCCTGCCAGCGTGCTCAAACCGAAGCAGGTAGATATCTTAGGGGGTTATACTCGGAGTCTTTGACCTACAGGTCTAATCCACAAGACAGTGGAGCAACGTAAGGAGATGCAGTCCGATGGTAGCCGGTGACCAACAACAGGTTTATACGTCATCTGTTCCTTCAGGATACTGGGGTCCATGTACACCATTGGTTTGGAATCAGGGTTTTACAACTCCGATAAGTGGACTCTCCGTGTCCAGTAATCCGGTTAAAGTTCCGAACATTCGCTTTTCATCCTCTCAAATTTTGTAAACAACACCAGTGGTGCGAGAAAGCAGTGAGTAGGACTTCCCTGTTGGTGGTTGTATGCACGCGGCCATGTAAGAGTATCACGAGAGGGAGAGCTGACTCTCCCCACTCTCAGCCGTACCAGGGCATTTAGGGGCCACTAACAAAATAACTCTACAAAATCGATTGTATACAATTTAAGTAACAAATGTTCAGTTTCGCTTCTGTCTTTTTTTTCATTGAGTAAAAAACATTTTGAACAAATACAGGGAATGTCTAAAATTTCTTGAGTTGATAAGTAATAAACTACTTTTTAAAGCTGATAAAGAAATCTAAGTAATGAGTAAAGTAAGCAATGATTAAATAACTTGAAATAAATAGAGTATTGAATATTAGACAGAAAATCCTTTTGGGGAGTTCGGTATTGTGTTTGTTTTTCCCTAAGTAATTTGGTTTCATGATAAGATGAAAAAAATAATGATCATTTTAAATTTTGGAAATAAACGGAAATGTTATATTTGAATATCAGAAGGGTTTTTGTGGATATTACAGTAATTCCAATGGTTGAGATCATGAGTCGATTGGAGCTAGACCACCATGAGAAAACTTGGAATCACTGAACGGTCGTTTCGTCCTACTGTGAGACTCCTCAGCAGTGCGCATCCACGACCCCACCTCGCGACCGCTTAACCACTAAGCAGGCTGGCATCCAACGGTGTTAATGTCTAACTTCAACCAATCCACGAAATTGAGCGAGACACCGTGGATGCACACTGCTGAGGAGTTCCACAACGGTCGTTCAATGCTTCCAGGTTTTCCATGGTGGTCTAGCTTCAAATAACTCATGATAACAACCATTGAAATATTTGAATATACCAAAAACAACGACAGTAGAGAAATAGTATGAATTTATATAATTATGATAAGTTCAAATTTTAGGAAGTCTTACCATTTATCCTATAGCCCTAAAAACATAATTATGTTTATTAGGAAAACATTGTCAATTTTTTTAGATAGATAAATTGAGAACGAAATAAAAACTTGATATTTATATACTTAAATATAAGAATTATGAACAACTTACCCTCATGAGATGGAATAGGAGGGAAGAACTGTCTTGGCATTTGTCCAATAAAAGGCCCTGCATGACGAAGATCACATGAATCTTCAATTGACTAGAACGTAAAATAGCTCAGAATAGTAAGAACAGAAAATTAATTATTACTTAAACAAACAGAAAGATTGATTAAGGAGGTCTCCTTTGATAACCATTCAGTAGTATTCATCATAGTAGAAGCAGGTTCAACCTTGCAGATTTTCTGTCATATACATATAATGTATATCGGTAAACTTTACAAGGCAGTTAATCATATTTCATTAGAGCGATACAATGAGAAGACAAAGATTATCAGAATTATGTTTCGAACAATCTGATTACACTTATACTTCTTAAGACATTATGTATGAAAAATAAAAAAGTCAACTAGACAAGAAAGGAGGTATGCAGAAACAAAAACAATAAAAAGTACACAGTCTGAAACTCACAACTTTGGTAATAAATTAAAGTAGGCTAAGAGTAAGGACGAAATGTTTCTGAACACAAAAGCGAATCCAGTTTTTCCATAGACAAGACTTCAATAGACCTTAGTATACGACGCTGAAAACTCTTTTTATAGCACTATAGAGGCTGACTTGATATCGACCCTATGACCCGTCTCAACCGAATATTTCACGAATGCGGAAGATCATCGAAGTTCATTTGTTTCCTTAGCCATTTTGGTATGTATTCAACCACTCACCTGCAGATCACGATTGCTCCTCCCTATGTGCACGTTAATGAACATCAAAGGGACTAATTTTCATATTTCATTAGTCTTTATTTTACAAAAACGAGTCATCATCCATCACCCCAGCGAAACAGATGAGTTCAATTTTTACCTTACAAACAGTCAGAGTAGTACTGCTGTATAGCATTTTTATGGCATGTCTTCATCTACCTCTTCTTTTTGTATAAAATCTTAAAATTGTGTTTAAGATTTTCACTTGTTCATATTAACTAAAGACCGGTAATTTTAACAACATCCTAGTATACGTTCTAACGACTTTTTTACTCTGTTTATCGCAAATTACACCGGCGAATCTTCTCCACATGTGGAGAAATTCGAACACTTCACTTCTACCTAAAGTTTGTGTTGATGATGTAGTTCAGAAGAACGATGAAAGCTTTACGACCAAACCACCCAGCTCAGAGCACAAAACTCCATCAAAATCATCCACCTGAGCTACAAATCTTCTATTTCACATGGTATTGAAAAATTCACGTAATCAGCTGAGAGGAGTTATTTTCTTCAACCGAGTAGCTAGATTCAGTCGAAGAGCTCAACAATATTATTTTAACGACTAATCAGTTCTAACCAGCTGGATATAAACGTGAGGAATAAATTTATACCAATCGCATTCACTTAAAAAAAAACATAATTCCCTAATATTTTATAATATCAGGAATAAATTCAGACCATACTTATTATCAGTAATAAATCATCTACCAGGTTAAATTTGCATACTTGACCTAGAACCAAATCGAAAGTGTGACGGGGTTCGAACTTGTAATTTAGTGACTAAAAGCCGGACACCTTAACTATTGAGCCACTATTTTAATACTGAGTCAAATCGCAATTGCATATTTACATTTTACAAGAGTGAAGTCAAACCCCTCCTCATATAATTGACTTTAATTTTAGTTATCATTAGTAAAAACCTATTCCATTCACTTGTAGCTAGATCATTTTGCTTGATAATCATAACTCGGACAGGGAATACTAACAATCAGTGTGTTCGTAGTATTTCATAAACGTGAAACTTATTTTCATTTCTTTGAAAATTTACACTGATTATTTGGAAAAAACTTACTAAATTCTTTTCTAACTGTAAGCAACAGATAAGAATATTTCCAAATTCACGAAAATTTTGAAATACATTAGTTCGTAAATCTGTATATTTATAGATTTGATGTAATTGAGTGTATAAAGCCGAGAATACAGCATCAGATTCTGCTTTCTCTGATGGAAGTATCAATGATTGAGGCATAAGAAGCACTAATCGGCAAACATAATCGCGTAATGTTTGATTTAGCTAATATGATGGGAGAAAAAAAAACATTTTAAGAAATCTTGATGAATTTTCATGATAAATTTACAATGATATAAGTCGGAATAACTTCCAACAATGAATATAGGAAGAAATCACTAGATGATTAGGGGACTAGACGACAAAAAAGATATAATACTGTATGCAATTGAGTATGACAGATTGATGAACTATAACATAAAACGGCGTTTATTATTCTGTAGTATCCGGAGAACTAGTTGAACTGATATGATTTCAAAAATCTTACTTTCAATACTCATTCCGAAATTAACTGGAGATGGCGAACAGCAAACTTGAGAAAAGGAGTTGAGCTTTGGACAATCAATCAAATGTTCACTATTCGATAGATTCTGATCCTGTAACACAAGCTCATTCACTAACATTTGAATGTACCCATATTTTTTGGTCTGAAAATTATCTTCGTCCATCGAACATTTTGATGGGAATCTCTGTTACTGAAGTTCGTGACAAATAATTATATAAACCTAAGAAAGGATTTTTGTTCAATAATAATGGATTTTGCAAGAGTTGAAGGGGGAGCACAAAGAATGCATCTGTATTTCTGTGGACTCCAACCAAGAAGTTCAAACTAGTATTGAATAACCTCGTGAGATGATTTTACATCTTGACCTGAGAGTTTTTAATCTACTCATAAACTATTATTAAAACAAGCATGCAGCACTTCTAAATAGATCCCTCAGTCATTTTTATCAAGTTTTACAGCCACAAGAGTCAATCAACTAACTTCGTCAATTTACTCTATATACAGCATCAAAAATCCTCACTAAATTGTTTCAATAAACACAAACAATGCTTTGAAGATACCAATGATAAAACACGAACGATCTTACGAGAAAGGCACTGTAAATAGGTGGATCTTTTTGAAGAACAAGTAGATTGGTTGCGCAGACTATTCATATCATCTAAATTCAAATTGATAACAGTAATATGATAGCGAAAGAATGAAATCTAACACTCATATTTTAATTTCCCTAGCATTTAAACGATCTATGAAATCTGTATATCTTAATCCCATTTGCTGTATAATCGTGTTTAGTTTTGCGTTCTACATTTTGTTTACAAGTATGTTATTTCATTAGACATTTATCCTCTAATGCATGTCTTGTTTTTTTATATCAGCTTAATTGACGGCTCAAAATCATGAGCTCGGTCTCTGGTATATCATCTATTCATCGCATTCTATTCATTTATGATAACAATAAAAAAACTACTGGTGTATAACAAATGGAGGCAAATAGTCAGCTATTCAGAACAAGATAAACGACAAACTTCATTATGAAACAAAAATGTTGTATAAAAAATGAGACTGATGTTACTTTTCACAGTCAGTCAAGCGACACATGAATATTCCGAAGACATATAGCTAATAAAATAACTTTATAAACCATTAAAGTAATACACAAAAAGAAATTTGACTCGGTAGACCGCCGATAAGTATGCCTGTGTTCTAGAATCTGACGAATGGTGAATATGTGGTCGATGCAGCCACGACCATGTCTGAAGCCAGCTTGAGTCTCTCGTGTTTGCAGTTCACGAGTCTTAGTTAGGCGTCTGATAATTATCGAGGCTAGTATTTTAGATACTATATTAGTTAAACTAATCCCTCTGTGGTTGTCACAAGATGATTTTGACCCTTTCTTATATATTGGGACGATAAGTGATTGTGACCAGTCAGATGGAATAACGTCTAACTCCCAGATCTTAGCTAAAATATTAGTCAACCTAATCGCTAAAATTGAACCACCATCCTTAAAGACCTCTGGAGCCGGTCCAGATGGACTGGGCTGAACACCGACTACCACGACGTGCAATGCTATCCGGTATTGGAGATGGTTGGAAGAAAGTTAGGGGCGGCCAAACCAAAACGTGGCATCAGTGCTTGAAGACACTAACTTGTAGTCTGAGCCATGTTGGTAGATGCAGACTACTTGGTTGGGGTCCGCGTGACAATCGTAACCAATGGTTGGAGACTCTTGGTGACATGGCTCAGAATCGATCACAATGGCGTCGGTGTATACACTCCCTGTCTTCCCTTAAACTAAGAGATTAAAATCACTTCATATCTTTCTTTCTACGAACCAATTCTTTCTTCTTGTACTATATCTCTATATGCAATCTTTCTCTTATATATTACCACCTTTGACCTAACCACTGCTATGAATCCGGTGTTCATCTTGTTGTGCTGATGCAGTATGGCAACCTGGACTGATGCACATATGTGCCTGGTCCTACGTTGTAGCTGACTGACTGACTGACAAAAAGAAATCACTATTCAAAATAAGGAATCAAGCCAAACAAATTAAACATACCAACGATTGAGCAACTTTCATTACTTCAGCCGTAACAACAAACAGACCTCGATAACCCAATAAACGACAAATGGCAGAAAAGTGAGGTGCACCAACAAAACCACGATATAATTTAAATATAGTTTCAAAGCATGTATTTAACGAACGACTACCCCAAACGTATTGAGCCTCAACTGTTGGCGGTTTCTCACGTTCTAACACTTCAGTTAATGTGAAATTTGTTGGTACAAATCTATTTGAAGATTTTAAACATTTAAATAATTACTTGGCTTTTAACAATATTATATGTAGAATAAATCAGAGTGATAAACATATATATACTGGTCGATATGTCTTTTATACTTGTCTTTCGGTTGACTCCGGATTTTTCGCTTACTTACATAAAGCGTCTAGATTTATCTACTTTACGGAATGATCTACGCGTTCGTTTATTGCACGTAATTTATTAAAGCGACTGTTTTTTTGTCACAACTTCACTATTGATATACTTTAACTTAATAAATCAATTTGTAGGGAGAAAACTGGCCCCCAAATGTGGGGGAGAGTGGGGAGAGTCAGCTCTCCCTCTCGAAATACTTTTACATGGCCACGTGCATACAACCACCAACAGGGAAATCCTACTCATTGCCTTCTCGCACCACCAGTGTTGTTTACAAAATTTGAGAGGATGAAAAGCGAATGTCCGGCACTTTATCCGGATTACTGGACACGGAGAGTCCACCTAGGGGAGTTAGAAAACCCTCATTCCAAACCAATGGTGCACATGGGCTCCAGGATCCTGAAGGAACAGATGACGTATAAGCCTGTTGTTGGTCACCGGCTACCGTCGGACTGCATCTCCTTACGTTGCTCCACTGTCTTGTGGATTAGATCTGTAGGTCAAAGACTCCGAGTATAACCCCCTAAGATAACCACCTGTTTCGGTTTGGGCACTCGAGCAGGATCCCAGCCGTCACATGAATCGAATGATTTATGTGGTGTATATCTATTTGATACCTCCTTGTACGAATGTTTATGCGTTTAAATAAATAATTATGTAATTCGCTCAAAACTTGGATGTCCATTTGATGAGCATCAATTGAAAAGAATATTCTTCATACATATATCAGTATTTTAATAGAATGAGTATTTTTAAAACGGTTAAAATATTGCAGAAAACTTAATACTTAATCATAAAATTAAAACAAAACTCTTTCTAACCTGTTAGTAGCATCATTATAACAGTAATTTTTAACAAGATCATATGTTAATTCCCAAAATACATGAACAGTAATTTTTCCTAATCTAGAAGTTACTAAATTATCCGCTTCACGTAATAATGCATCAAAATCATCTAATTCCAATTGTTCACTCAACATTCTATGACAAAGTCGATTACATTCAATAGCTGCTTCCAATTCCTATGAATATAAAGGTATAGTCATACAAAAACATTTATTTAAAATTATTAAATATACAACTATAATAATTGACATAATTGTGATTCATATAATGTAGATGAATATAAACTATTTGCTCACTATTATATGCAATAATGTAATTTAGTGATTGGTTACGTTTTCAGTTATACTAGTTTAAATCACAACCTAGGTACTCATGGTTATTAGATTCTATTCGGCTGACTGATTAAAAATAGGTTACTACTGTATACCATTTTTCATGCAGCTGGCAGGATTACAAACGTCAGTCAATCATAAGGAACGTAGAACTTAGCATATATGTGCATCGATTTAAGTTGTTACACCACAATGAGATAAAATGATCAGAATCAATACCAAAGTAGCAGAAGAATCGGTGATACTAGGAAGCATTAACCGCAGACAATATGATTCGAGAAGAATGAATTCGCAGAATAAAGGTTACAAAACAGTTCTAAAACTGCAAATCTAAAGGAACAAAAAGAGTACATGGGTATGAGCTATTGTGATTGATTCTGAGTTAAGTTAATCAACACCTCTAACTAATGACTATAATGAAGTGTACCGAACGTCTACCAACATAACTCAAACCAATTATCAATGAATTAGTGAATCCTTTCTTTCCTCCAGCCTACTCCTTCATTAGCCGACAGATACTTTGTGCAATGTGTAAAGAAAAGTTTCAATCTAGTTGGCGTTTTTTAGCAAGATTTTTTCTACGGGATGGGATTGCCGACCTCATGCCCAACCCTACTTCTTTACCTGGGCTTGAGACCTGCAGGAAGTCAAGAAGAACTACAGGTAAGCCCTAACTCGGAATCCTGAAGGGAAACGAAAAAGAGGAAGGCCAAAGAACACATTACGTCGGGAAATAGAAGCAGATATGAAAAGGGTGAATAAAAACTGGAAAGGGCTGGAAAGGATGGCCCAGGACAGGGTTGGATGGAGAATGATGGTGAGTGGCCTATGCTCCTTCATGAGGAGTAACAGGCGTAAGTAACCATCGAAATATATCAATTGATCACAAACTAATTAATAATGAACAAGACTTTAAGAAGAAATAAAATAAAATAAATGAATCCATCATCCTATAAATGATCCATCTATTGAAACGTATAAACAATCGACTGTATAATTAATCAAGTATTCTATGGTTAATTGATTGGAAAGAATGGATACACATACACATACACTATATGTATATATTAAGTATATTTTCAGAATTTCATCACATTTATCATCCTGTTCAGTGTATATATGTGAATGATAGATAAATTTTGTAAAAATTTTAAACTAAACTACATGTATAATGGAATCAAAAATCAGTCAGTCAGTCAGTCAGTCAGTAACAAAGTAGAACTTCGTACGTACGTACATCAGTTCGAGTTGCCACACCACATTAGCATAGAGATGCAGTTGTCAACTCAAATTCCGTAGTGGTAGAGGTAGTAAGAGTATAAGCAGTAGTCAGGAAGATTAGGGTTTGAAGATGTTATTTAAAGAGTATAATTCAGTGAAATAAATTTGGAAAGAAAATGGTGGACATGAAGAATTCAGAAGATTAGAATTTGGGAGAACACAAAGAGTGAATGCACTTGCGCCGTTGCAAACGATTTTGATTTATTTCATTCAAGGTCTCTAACCATCGGTTGCTATCATCACGCGGTCCCCAACCAGGTAGTCTACACCTACCAACATGACTCAGTTCACTTGTCAGTGACTTCATGGACTTGTGCCATGTTTTGGTTTGGCCGCCCCTAGCTTTCTCCCAACCTACTCCTATACCACTGAACATAGCACGTCGAGGCAGTCGGTCGTTGGGCATACGTAACACGTGTCCCAGTCATTTCAACTGATGAAGTTTCACTATCATCCTTACCTAGTACCAGTTTCCTAACAACTGCGTCACTTACTCGATGGTCCCAGGATATACGAGCAATGTTTCGAAGACATCTATGATCGAATACTAGTAACCTACAAATATCCTCTTCTCTTACCGGCCATGTTTCACTGCCATAAAGTAGGACGGAACGAACTGCTGCACAGTAAACACGTCCTTTCGTTGGTAGACGGATATCTCGCCTACGCGATGAATGGCGCAAGTTGGTAAAAGCTAGTCGAGCCTTCTGTATCCGTGCTGAGATTTCGTCACACACCAGACCACAAGGGCTGATGAGACTTCCAAGATAAGTGAAGCGATCGATACGCCCAACTACTTCACTCCCTATCATTAGTTCGGGTGTCGATGCAACCCAATCCTGAAGCAACATTTTGCATTTCGAGGGGAGAATCGCATCCCGAACATGCTTGCATTGTTGCTTAGAGTGATCAGAAGACTGCATTTTGTCAGCGTCTTCACCAAATAGAACTATGTCATTGGCATATTCTAGGTCAAGAAGTGAGTCTCCCGGCAGAAGTTCAACCCCTGAAAATTTAGATGAGGAAAGTGTTATCTCTGAAAGCACTTCAACGACAAAGTTGAACAAGAATGGAGAGAGTAGACAGCCCTGACGAACACCACTTGAGGTAATCAATTCTGATGACAGTTCACCATAAGCTCTCACTCGACCAGTTGTGTTCGAGTAGAGAGCCTTTATAAGGTTAATGTACTTCTTTGGTACTCCTTTCAATGACAAACACTGCCATAGAGCCTCACGATCAACAGAGTCGAATGCTGCATTAAGGTCGAGAAATACTACCATTGTGGGGCGTCTGAACTTGTGTCTGTGTTCTAGAACCTGACGAAATGTGAACATCTGGTCTATACAACCACGTCCAGGTCGAAAACCAGCCTGGTTTTCTCTAGCCTGCTCTTCACGAGCTTTAGTTAGGCGTCGAAGTATTATTGAAGTTAATATTTTAGACACTATATTAGCCAAACTGCTTCCTCTGTGATTGTCACAAGAGGACTTTTGTCCTTTCTTATAGACTGGCACAATCAGTGATTGAGACCAGTCAGATGGGATTCCAAAATAGAACAACTAGCCCAAAAGTAGAATAAATAAGAGCCTGATGTAATTATTGGTGCAACTAAATCTTTATATGATGATCACTACATACATCTAGTACAATTATGAATCATTAGTTTCTTTCTTTAACTTTCAACCATCAATCGGATAGATGTTTTAATTTCAGTGCGTAGAAAGCTAATATCCATAACTATTCCAAAATGTTCATTTTAAAGTATATCACAAGCGTCCAAATCTATTCAATAAATAACAACGGCATGGTTAGTCTCATTTCAGATACATGTTCTAGTTTATGAGGTTGTAAAATTTATTTTCACTGAATAATATATTTTGGATGGATGTGTGTAATGAGATGAATTAGATTGTTTTATTTATTTACAAAAACAAAACTATGAAAATATTAAGTCAGTCAGTCAGTTAGTCAGCTACAACGTAGAACCAGGCACATATATGCATCGGTCCAAGTTGCCATACCTCATTAACACAACAAGATGAACACCGGATTCATAAGAGTAGTTAAATCAAGGGTGCTAATATAGAAAAGAAAGATTGCATATAAGGACATAGTACGGGAAGAAAGAATTAGTTCGTAGAAAGAAAGATATAAAGCGATATATTAATTCTCTACTTACTGTAAATAAATCATATTTAAGATCCATTATTCTTCTTAAATGGTAAGAAAGAGCGATTGCTTAATGATTTAGGCGTTCGACCTTCAAATGCTAAGGTCCCAGGTTCAAACTTTGCTCCACCGGCTTTGGTCTGGGCAACCGAGGTAGCATCACTAGCTCACACGTATAAAATGTGACTCAAAGTCAGGTGCATAAATTCAAACCTCATAAATAATTTATCAGTGATAAGACGTACAGTTCATGACCAGTTGGGTGTTCAAATAAACTTGCTAGTCTGTATACGACTTTTATATTTGATGAGTTTGGTCGACAGTCGATTGTCAATGGTAGGGAGTAAGAATTCTTCAAGTTAGATGCTTTTACTCTAAACGATATTAGTTCATGATCAAGTGTAATAGTACTGTACTACAAAAAGCAATAATAATGATAATAATAAACGTCAAACTTACAATTATTCCTGTTATATCTGAACTATGAAAACGTGAAATAGCAACTTCAATTGATTTGTATATTGCTTTAGTCATCCTCTGACAAATTAATCGATTTATATCGACAGAACGACCAAGCAATTGAATATTTCTTTGTCGAAGTAAAGCTGCAGTATAACGATTAGGCGGTGGATAAGGTTCACGCCATGAAGCAGTACGTTGGGCTTCAGCTCGAAATCGTTTGTCTAATAAAATTGATGATGCATAGCGTTTATAGTGTCGAAATATTTTATCACTTAGTTTATAAACAAGTTGATCAAAGACTAAATTCGCTTCAGCCTCGATTTCTTCATAAAGAAATCGTCTTCGAAATCGATTTAATGCACAATCAGCAGCATCATTGTAAAGGTCAAGCATATAGAGTAGATATTCCGTATAACCAGGATGTTCACTTTCTAGAATATGATCGGTGAATATCCATGGTAAACTCATTTCAATTGGAAATTGTATACAAGCACCATTAGTCATTTCTAAGAAGAATTCACGATACCATAGTTGAGATAGGTCACAACACTTGATTAAAGTTTCTAGTGAGAAAAAATAGATGGAAAAGGATAATGGATGGAAGAAGGTAAACAAAAATGAAAACAAGAGACAATCTACAACCGTACTTATCTCAGTGAAGTAATATACATTTGTTGTATACAACTTCTAATCTAAAAGGCTTGTTCTTGAAGCGTAACTAACATGGTAAATCAAACGAAGTATGATTATCAAAACAACTCTATCTCAGAACACAGAGAATATTTTTGAATACCTAGAGCAGGCTGTTTGATCAAAATAAGTTACAGAGTTTTATTGTACCAACAGGAAATAATTTATCATACATCATTGACGCGTTATAGGGAATTCATCGTCTTGAAATCGATATCTACACCCAGTAACACTACTCATACTCTTTAGTTTTGATAAGGTCACCTGTTTTGTACTTGTCGACCTAACCGGATCATTTTAACATAAATCAATATTTTACATATAATTTCCCCTTTCTTCCTCCTCACTCTCAACTGTCGTTCTTATTGTGTAACATTTTTTTAAAAGATGTATCATTACAAAATCGATCCACAATGATTAATGTTTTATACTGAATCCTATTTACCAGCGAATAGGAAAACAAGATTGTCTAACATGAGATTTCACCGCTTGTCAATTTTAAATTCACTTTTACTGTATACACACTAGTTTGTTATCTACATTTAACTAATGAAATGTTAAATCCATATTTTCGTTTCTTTATATGTAGTTCAGAGAAAAAAATTCTAGTATTGAAACGTGATACAGAACCGAACTCAAATAGAGGATTGATTTCAACAAAATAGTGCATTTTTATGGTAACTCAGTCATATTTTCCACCACATTATCTTTATGTGGAAGTTTTCTTTGAGCTAAATCATAAGTAACAAGTGCAGTGGAATTGTATGTTATACGATAACTCATTTACTAATTGTACATGTTCATGTACTTCGCTTTGAGCTACACTTTCTGTGTGCATTGGTGATACTGATCATCTGCCTACAGCTGGAAACCAATTAATTAAAGTACTGAATTGATTTAATAAACAATAGGATTAGATGTAATAAACTACTCATAAGAAGTAAGAGGTATTTTTCAACTAGACCATACGTCAAAGTAGATAAATAGAGAATTGATATAATAAATTTTGTAAACTACTTGACCAATGTATTCTAACCAATATCGTGTACTAGTCTTTACTTCAGTGAATAATTAATTCAGTGAGATGAATTAACAATTTGAAAATACTTCTTTTGAATGTTAAAATTAAAATTAATCATTAGAAGATCATGATCTAAACTTAAACTAGTTGGGAATATATTAGCAAGAGTGATCAATGTAAAACTAAGTATGAAAAGACCACCACACTGTTGATGAACATCTAATACGTTAGTCACTTGATCAGTGATAAAAAAGTGGGATCTGTCAAATATGAGCGTCTGTCTAATTTGCTAAACCATATCAGCACAACGAAATAAGATTATCAAGGCAAATGCCAGAATAGTGGTAGCAAGGAAGATTAGGCGTTAATAATGTGCTTGGGTGAGAAACAATTAATTTGTGAGATAACTATTAAACTCAACATTTAAAGAAATGCAGACGGTAAATGTCTCCGTGTCATTTTTATCGGTTCTGTGACATCACACATTTACAACTAATGATTATGATAATCACGAATAATCTGTACCTATCAGCACGACCCACCCTAACGGCCAATGAGTTCACGAACTGATTCAAAGTTTTTGATTAGCCGCCCCTAGTTTTTTTTACAACCCATTCCTATTATTAAGCGAACATCGCATGTCGAGGTAGGCAGTGGTTGGACATACGTAACACACATTCCTAAAGTTAGGAAGTCAGCTTACATTTATTTACTTATCTAGTAGAAAGTCACCTACACTTAAAATTAGGGATTAATTATACCTAAACAGATTTGCATGAACAATTACAAATTACACTTGTATAAATAAAATTAAAGATGGATAAAATTGATAAACACTTTCAAATTACCACTGAAATTCAGAAGATATGGCCAATAAAAACTATGCTTAAGAAATGTATCTATCGCTGATAATGTTGCAGTGTCCAATTCTTTTCGTATCATTTGTTTGGTTGATGAAACTTGTTCAACCATTAATTCTAACATAGTTCGTACTAAATACAATTGACTAGATGATGGACCAACTCGACGTTTATTTGAATCAAATATACTACTTGTACTAATCGATCCTGTTGGACTGTCATTATTATTGGCTAATGAAGCAGCGACAGTAGCCATCGTAGAATTTGACCCTGTAGTCATACTATTATTATGATTATTATTATTGCTTGAATTCGATAGTTTTGAAGAAGCAGCTTTACCCCATGATTTGGATCCTGTTGTACCACCACCACTACTGCTACTAGTGTGCATCATCATATCCAAATCCATTGTGTCGGATATCTGAGAGGAAAAAAGTAAGGGATCGGGATTGAGTAGTTCTGACTTAATATTGTGATGAGAATAAAAGTTGTTGAGAGAATCTGTATCCCAGAAAACGACTAATACAAAACTAAAGAATGTTTATTGATGAAATGCTATCATGTTTTTTCGGTAGAATAAAAAGATATTTCGGTGGGAAAGTTTGATGTGTTTGGTACTAGTAATGATGACACTAAAATTTGCATAATAATTATCGGTGTTAATGACTGTGAGCCAACTAACGAGATAAACATGGGTTGAACGATACAGCTCCACTGATGAACATAACATTACAAGGGCTTAAAATATACAGTATGGGAGTATTTGGTGGTGCTACATTCTCAAGTCATAGCTGTTCGGTAAATGTGGGTTTAAATAGACTTTCACTTGTTTCTAGTTAGCAAAGACTTTAAATACTGTAAAAGACATCGACTTAATGTGCCTCACAAATGTTTAACCTTTCTATTGTTAGATTTATTCTTTAGAACATATACTAAATGGAAGTCATATTTTCAAGGACTGATTTATTAAAAAATAATGATAAAAAGTAGAGTTTAATGACAAAGTTACGGATGACAATGTACTTGTTGGAGGTATTATATTCTCTAAATTGGATGATTTAATTGTGAAGCTCCCATTGTTTTTTTGGAAAATACCATCAGCACGGAGTCCTCGTTGAAATGACAGGCTACTGGAAAGCTAAGGAATCTTGGAAAAGCAGTAGCTAGCAAATTACTGATAGAAACTCCAGGCTTCTACTTGATATAACCTTAGCAAGTCTGATTTGGTGATTCCGCCATATATAAACAATGGTTCGAGAACATAAGATCAAATACTTGAAATCTACACGTGTCTTTTACCTTTAAATATCATGTTTCATATAGACCAAGCTGATGGGTAGTATACTCCCACCTTAATAGACAGATGAACATCTCTCCTGAGCAACAGATTGTACAAGTTGACAAGAGTTGGCAGCTTTTTGAAAACGTAACAAGATTTTGCTAGTCACTAATCCACTAGGGTTGATGAGACTTTCAAAATAAGCGAACCGATCAAGGCCTTCAGCTATTTCCCTTTCTATAGTCATACTATGAATTATTGTAGATCACTCATGAAGCAACATCTCACACATAAGGAAGGGGTAGATCTATCCCAAAAAATATTGCACTCAAGATATGCAAAGGATTGTTTTTCTTAAGAATCTCAATACATAGGATTATGTTATCTATAAGCTTGGATTTAGTTAGTCTCAAAGTAAGAAATCAATCAAAACGAGACGATGAACTTTACCTCTAATAAGATACCTATGAGAAGATTCAAATAAAAGTCCATAGGCAATACTTTATCTCTTTAAAGTTTACAATATGAGTTTGAAACACACTATCCATGGTCTTTGTTCGGTCAAATTCAAGTCAACCAATACTACTTATGTTGAGCATAAAAGCCATAAAACATTACTCAAACAATTGATATTTTAAACTTTAGTCACCCCTGATATATATCACGGCTTAATTTTAAATGCCACTGAAAATCACTTTTCCGTGTTGAACAGCAATAACATGTAACTACAATTAATTGAAAGAAAAAAATCGGAATAGCTTTTCGATATCAACGTAATAATACTTCCTAAATATAATTCTAAACACCCTTAAAAATTGGTTTACATTTTATTATTTTAGTATCATTCTTCACCGATAAAACAGTTACGATATTATACTATGCATACTTGATCAGCACATGTCGCTTGAATCGCAAGTATTAAACGTGCCAGCATGATTCGTTCTTTTTTCTTTTGTGCTTTAAGCAATGGAGCGCTTAATTGGCCGACAACAATTGCCTGTAGTTCTCGATAAACAGAACGACCAATCGCTTCTGAATAACAAGCTTCCAATCGTAAAAGTTGTGTTTGAACAGATTTAATCATACTGATTATTTCAATCATAGCAAATCTTTCTTCTGAATTGTAATTATAACGAGTGGCCTGAAGGAAACGAGAAAACAAATGAATATATTCTGGATGATGGAAATGAGTTCAGAAAGGTGATATTCGGTATATTTGGACGGATTTTTTAAACAACTTAAAGATTAACATGTATGTTAGTTGAGTGATCACAGTCAAATAAATCTTCAAAGATTGGACTTCTAACCGCCTAACTCATGCCCTTATGGAACCAGGTTGGCATTTTTTCCTTCATACTTGCTAGACTGAATGCTGTCTACGGACTATATGTCTTACTCCACAGCAGTAGATGGACTGTTAAATGCACATCTCTCATAACTGTGAAAAGCTCATTAAAATGTTATCTTTTAGCAATTAGACGAAATGAGTTACAATTTCCCTAACTACTACCTAACAGATAGAAGTATCTACAACCGCTGAGAAGGACAGGGTCACGATTAAGCTACAACTTGAACATATTAGAGCCACATAATTGGTAAGATGTTTGCCTAGGAGTACTAACAAACACTTACTGGCTGTTTGCATCAAAACATTAAATAGCTTAGTTTAATGATCATACCGTGTTGTTATTAACAAAATTAGATTACTATCAAGAAACAAAGAGATATCACGGTTAAAATCTTGTGACTGAAAAATGTAAACTAGCAGATTATATACCAAATACAGGGCCCGTGGTTCAGACACTAGTAGCTTTCCGAACAAGGCGCTTTGGTAGTTGGTGTGTCTCAGGTATAAGTCCCAATTCGGAAGGCAAGAGTAACTGGGAGATAATCCCATTTTCACTTTTTATGAGGTAAGATGAATGTCCTGTACCCCGATCCCAGTCGCTGGAAAACAGTATCAAAGTAAATCATAATTCAATGTGACACCTATGAACAACGCTTAACGCCTATTCTTTGTATTTTACAACTCAAATGTCGTTTTATGGAGTGACCGGTGAGAAAGAGTAACATTTTTGACAGAAAAGGTACAAACAGGGAGAAATATACCGCGAACCAAATCATACGTGATGAAAATTCATGACTATAGGTGAATAACACTGAAAATAGTGTAAAACTTTAGTGGCAAATCTTAGGAGTACTGAATGAATTTGCTTTACTCAGTACCTTTTTTGTCACTTTGCAAACAATGTGTTAATTTGGCAGGAATTATTAGCGCACCAGACTTAATAGTTTTTTTTCAATTCAGTTAGGTATTAAAAAAGCTCAAAACAGTATCATAATTCAAAAGAACCTCATATTCACGAGAATATAATCGAAGCATACTTTTTCATAATTCTCAGCATCTTTTGGGCACTCATGGTTTGTGAAACCGCTGGCACAGTGAGCAAGCTTCCATGAAAATGTGTCTAACACTTGTACAGACCAACCAGATAAATATTGAAGACCTCGAAGTGCAAGATCATAAAGTTCTTGGTTTTCTTTGGCAGAACGTTCATTTAAACGAATCGACGTTGTATTTGTATGCCAAGCTAAATCGGATGTCAATGAAGTATATTCCTCTCTGAAATCAGAATTTTCATTATCAAAAAGCATTTAAGGCAAATAGATAGATATATATAAAGGGATCATGATGTGAGATGTTTTATGTGACTTTTAACGTTAATGAAGTTTTTACGGGTACCGTTTTGTGCAATAAAGTGGAAATAGTATTGATATTATGAGCTAGTTTGTGGTGTACAATAAATTTGAGTGTTTAGAAGCATAGTGAATGACAAAGATAAAATCGCAATTTAAAAATATACTCACTGATCGTCCCGTACACGAGCATATAACTACTAAAATGGCAACTGGTTTACCACGTACAAATTTATGGATTCGGTTTTGCACCAACTTTTTATGTAGGACGGATAATGAACTTACCCAGCTGTCCAAACTGAAATGGAGCTAGTTTCGGACCAAACACCTTATACTTGGAAGCCAAGTCTTTTAACCACTAAATTACGACTAATCACGTATCCATTAAATGGTTATGGTATATTTTCTGCTTAAATGATAAGGGAATGAGAGTGGCCAACACAATATCTGGTACGAATTAGGTTGAAAGTTAACTTAAACTAGTGATACAAACCAGCAACATGAATGTAACTCATCCCATGACTAGTAAAACTCTTAAGGACCACCCATACATATTTATCTTTGAATATTTAATAAATTCACTTTAATATTTCATATTCAAAATTCTTCATCGTACTAAACATAGTGTCGAATATAGCTATCATTACTAATTTCAAAGTGACACTAACTGATTTCGACAAAACGTGATCAAGTTATTAATATGATACCACTCATATACTTTACCTGATTATTTTGATAGGAGCACAGACATGGATAAGAAAAGGGTATCGTCACACCCGCTAACCATTTGCTACTTCAGGGTTTTGTCAGATTTTCAGTATGATCATACGTGAACAACCGGGATACTACCCGTGTTTCATACTTCCAGCGGTTTCTTCTATTTTATTAAAATCAATCAAAAACGCTGAGAAACCTGAAGGCACCTATTTGTAAGGTTATCATCTCCACTCCATCTAATTATATTAACTATTCAAAACTTATTGAAATGTCTTGAAACTCCTTAGCACGAATGGAGATATAGCTCATTGATCTAAATACATCCATTTCTACCAGATCAACGGTTTAAATAATCCCTCAACGATCAAAATCTTAACATCCTAGTGGTGTTACAGGTCCTTGCGGAAGAGATCTAAAAGGATAGTGAAACTGTACAGTCGATGAGAGGTCTATGTATTCCAGTAGCTTTGTAGGCCCTCGTTCAGGCTTTCTAGCTGGGCTTAGTCTTAATACGACGAAAGTCAGAATGACTTACGTTAAACACAACTAGCACCACAAATTTAACTTATACATGAAACGTTGGATGCTGAATATTGTGCCGAGTAGTGGTACTCACATAGTAACAATACACAGCAAATCCCGAGTTCTAGCTAAGTGTGTTTGAGGATGGTGAAAATAATTGCATTATCCAATCTTTGGACACAGAATCTAGTAGCTTGCATGTTCCCTTTCGTAAATTGTTCGAATGGTTACAAACTGCATATTGTTTGCCAACCTTACGACCAAAGAAAATGGAGGCGATCGATGGGTCTGAAGAAATAGTAGGGAGGAGGTCGAACTTGAGAAAACCTAGTTCTCTTTTAAAGTACTCGGTGCTTGATGGAAAGTGGGTGGTTTGTGTGGGGAAAATATATGCCTGGTTAGGCTGTGATGGGACGAACAGACGATTTGAGTTAAACCAAGCAAAAGCAGAAATATCACGTAATACCTACTGAAATCTCGCCATGTGCGTTAAGATCACTCCCTGACCAGAAACTTTAGCACTATTGCACTCTGGCCACTTAGATGGATCAAATGACACTGTTTGACGAACATATGAAAATGGTTCCACACTCATATCACCGAACAGATTGACAACTTCACATTCCTAAGAAATTAAATTAAGGAACGAATCTGGCTTACCTTTAAAATCCGATCTAATTTACCAATGTTAAGACGTTTCGCAATTTTATTCAGGCAAACGCCTACTTGCTTACCATCAACTATACGACCGGAATCGAGAAGATAAAGGGAAAAAGCTATAACCTAAAGACGTGAACGAGAACTAAACCCGGATTTACTATAACATGAGTGTGTTTCTCTTCAGGAAGGATATAAACCTTGTTTTCATACATTTGAGCGCTGTTATGAATGATTTCTATCAGAAGGTCCTCATAGCCATCAATTGCAATCAAGCTTTCTTTTAGTGTATCACGAATAATTTTTTGCTTCGCCAAGAATATACTAACGTCGTGAGAATCGGGATCGTTAACTTGTAGAAACTGGGCGGCTCTGATTATCGATAAGAAATTAACATGAACACACCTTTTGTAGTTAGAATAATCATTTTTCATGCTTGCCTTCATGTTCTTCATTTCATCTAGAAGAGCAAACATTTTTATCATTTTCCCAAGTGTGACGAGATAGGCCTGGTTGACGAAGAAGTTTTTCTGATCCTTATGGGCCAGTCGTTTTACTTCTTCCACAAACCTCCGTATAGCTGCATCCTAGTAAATTTGATGAAGTGCTCTTCGGCAACCTACTTGAAAGAACATGAACTGTTTCAATTTTAGACAATGTGGTTCTAATATCTCCTTCGTTTTTTCATATATCTTTATTCTATTTGGCTGGTCACTTGATCGGATCTACTGAGAATAATATCTGAGCTATGAACTTACAAATGGAAGAGCTCTAGATATCGACCTCCATGTGTACAGCATAATCGCGTACTCTTGTCCTTGTTCAAGCAGAGTATTGAGGTGTGAGTAAACCCTTGCATCTTCAGCAGAACGCGCAAAAGCGGATTTAAATGCGGTTATGTCACTAAAATTCGTATCAGTGTTGGACTGACAAGAAATGAGTCTAATGAACCAAATAATTACCTGCAACAATATGGGGAAATTAGCTCCCTGAATTGATGGAACATCTTCATCAAGGTTTAGTTGGGACAAGGCACTGACTTCTCTCATTGTAGTAGGTATAGGTCCTCGAAGATGTTGGAGGACTTCCATTGTAACGCTATAACTATAAATCCGCAACCAACCGACCTTCAAAAGCCTCGAACCTCAAACTTTGGAAGATGGGATTATCGAACAATGTGTTCCTTTGAATTCGCATATTGCTGTTAGGAAAGTGTTTTCGACTATGAAATAGTATAGGTCTTTTTTCTGAATCTGAAGAAAGTAACAACCAACTGGTTAGATAAACATGAGGTTCTCTGAAGAGTGTTGCTCCATAAGGTACAATCCTTGACCCTAGTTCTATTTAATTTCTGGAAGTTATTTATCGGCCATTTATTACTAACTAATCCTTCTCATTTTTTATGAGATTCAGCAACTCATATGTAAGGTAGGATAACATACAGTCCTCAGTAATAAATATAGTACGTTGTTCGACCTATGTTAATCCTTGAAGTTTGTTTTCAAGTGGTTACCAGGCTTCTCCCTGAAATAATCTACTGACTAGGCCAGTGTGGTGTTCCAGTTACTGACTACTCAATGAAAAAAAACGGAATTACTGAATTCGTCTAATCTCGGTTCTTGAGCCTGTAGTGACCTATTTTATCAAGAAAATGCTATTGGTTTAGTGGAAACAACTAATATTATAACCAATTGTACTAGGGATTGTTTTACTGTACTTGTTTGTTTAACTACTAAAAGCAAACATTCTTCCGTTGATTGTGACCTTGCACGAACTTACGTTTGCTCAGTAGTTCCGCTTGTACTCTTTGGCATGATCTCGGTATTATTGCGATATCACGAGATCGTCAACAAATATATCTTGTTACGACCTTCAACCGCCTTCTGATTTCTGATTTACTCGGAGGTTTAGCCTGTTCTGGTACGTAATCTTCTTGTAGTGGTGATTATAGTCAACCGCGACTCGACTTTCACACTACAAGCCTTCCTGCGGTCATCTCGATGATGACTAGTTCTGGAGGAATCCAAAGGTTGGAACATTTTAACGCTCAAATTTTATGGTCCTGCTTGACTCGGTGACTTTCCCGAATTGTTTTTCAAAATACCTTAACTGCTGTGGTAGTTGGACTGACGGTTGTTTGACACAGTCTGTCATTTTCCGTTTTTAAGTAAAGGCCTAATGAAAATATCTTTCCGATCCATAGAGAGATGAGCTTGGAAGAGAGAGATGTTAATCATCATAGCGAATGGTTTTGGAATACAGTCTGCGAGGGATGACAGCGATAGTAGATGTAACTCATCGGGGCTCGGTGACTTGTCAGGTTTAATGTTAATAGGCAGTTGAAAAACAGCTTTGTTGGTCACGAGCACTGGCACCACAGTAGTGTGGTGGAGGAAAGTGTAGTACGCCTGTCTATGCCACCAAAATAAAAGATTTATCCACTTATGATTTTGGTTGTACTAAAAATATTCTGCGTTGTGTTCATTTAATTCAGTCGTTTATTTACTCTGATAAGTGGCTTACATTTAGTCACGAAACATCAGAAATACGGTTTCGCTACTCATTGGTATGTAACCAAAAATATACTTCTCATTAACTTCCTACTCATTGTTCAGTTCATTTAAAATTATCATGTCCAACCTTAAAATTGATGCCCACAATAATATATTTAATCTGACATTTAGGACTTTTCATGTTGTAGCGGTAAATAAAACCCCAAAATCAATATCTTTATAAGTCTTCGACATTAGGTGCTGACCACATTAGTTTTAATGGACTCGCCTAGGTTTCGCTCAATTATCCTCACCAGATCACCAGTGGGAACTCCATGCTCAACATCTCCCGCAGTTGCTAGCCAGATTAGATCAGACGATCCTCGATATATTGGTAGCCTATGAAATATATCTTCGAACACCCTCGCTTCTGTCTTTTGATTTCACATGTTGTGTACGATTCATATTACGTGTTACTAGTTAAAGCGTTGTCAAACTCCAAATACCTGTAGCATCTTCAATGTTGTGGCTACCTAATTTGTATTGTCTTACGCTGAAGCCACATCACTCTCTATCCTGACTCACCATACATTGAAGACAACCTTAGAATAACTAATTTGAGCTGGTGGCAGAATAATGTAACCAAAATAAATTTAAGAGTTAATCCCCAGTTCTGCATGGATGAACCATGCATGTAGTGGCTACCATACAGCAAGAAGACACCGTGTGTATCAGGAAAGCATGCGAAATAGCATATGTAACAGAAAGAATATGCTGAAAATTTCCCAAAAGTGTTTCATTTAACAGTATTTTTATTTCTTCATTCTTTTCCCCTGTCTTGCATTTCAACTTTTACTCATGTCTTTTGTATCACGTTTTATTTTCTTCACTCTTTTTTGTCTGGACTTTTATTGTCTGATTTTGGTTGCGGATATGCCTTATGGTGACACGTATATCCATTAAATTTCGTGACGATAAAACAAAGATCACACTTTTTCTTTATTTTTGGAACTTTGTATGTTACTGGGTTACTACTCAATGTCTATTGTTCCTCTGTATCAATTGTAAAGATGGATACAACAGTTTCGTTGCACTAATACACACTACCGCTGACTAGAAATAAATTCTTTCTTTATCGTCTGTTATACTTTACCGACGTGTGATTGAAGATTATAATGGTGTTATAACATCCTGTTAGGTCATTCTACATTACATTCGAGCTTTTGCCCGGATTTCTACTGAGTAATACTAACAGACCTATATTTCCCAACAAGCGTTGGCGCCACACGTACAGAGGGACCTTTGTTAGTCAAGTGGATTCATTTTTGGTTGTTATTTCAGAGGTCACTCACAAGTAACATTCATTCCATAACAATTATTATTCTGCTACTTAATAAACAATTTTGTTGTGTCGTTTGTTACCGTTTTGCTTTACGCATGAACAGGCACTTCAGCTTGTAGTGTTAATCCTTTTTTGATATATCATTAGTAACTGTTCGTTTTGTCACATATTTAGTACGTTTTTTCACTGGGATCTATCACAACTTTCATTAATAATTCTGTTGTTGCATGTTACTTAGCCATTGAAAATAATTTGATCTCTGACTGGAATCAAGGTTATGGCATGGTCCAGTCGATGACTGTGGACCTTTGAATTTCTTATGGGAGCTGTTGTTGAAATACCTGTGGGTGGATTTCTGATTCCACCTTGTTGTGAATATCCTTATTGATTATCAGACGTAATAAACGAGAACATAAGTGGGGACATCTGGATGTATTTGAATACAAAATTACAGAACGTCTTAGTAAAATCTGAAAATCATGCAGTAAATACTTAATTTACAAAATGTCAATCAGTGGTCTCAGATTTTTTTTCAATCCCACATCATTCGTTCCCCGTTCTCGTTCTCTTTTATTTGATATTCTTAACCTTTTGCCACCAGGCAATTCACTTTAGATTGTTGATACATACCATGACCGCGCTTTTCGAACGGGAAGTTTAGTCCTAACGTGATTTGCATTTATCAAACTTTTGCTGTGTTCTTACGCAACAAAAGTACCATTTCTGTCCAAAAGAATCTCTCCTGAGCTAAACGTTCGGTAGATTATTTTTTTAGTTTCATCCAATTTAATAGTTAACTGTGGTTTTGCCTCAGCTTACTATTCGTTTTTTTCACTTTTTCACGTAAAGACTAGTTCAGTTTATCTCATCCGTTTTATCCATTTTTGTCCGTTTTCAGTATTTTTTAGTGTATTTTTTACGGTCTTAGGCTTTTGCTAGCATCTACAACACAGTTTACGTCAATACAGTCATGAAAAATTCATGCAAACGACCTGGATGCCGTTTCGCGGTTACATCTGGCATGCAGTGCGACATCTGCAAAGGTATGTTCCACGAAGCGTGCACAGATCTCACAGCAACTGCTTACAACAGACTCAGCAAGTCGGATCATAAGTGGGGATGTGTTACGTGCAGCACGGATGCTGCAGTCTTGCTGAGTAATATCATTGTCTTACTGACAGGTCTGCAGAGTGGGTTGTCTGTAAACTCGGGAAAAGACAGACAAAAAATGGGTAGACCAACAAGAAAGCGCATTGAAAACGAACACAGGAATGTCGATAGATCTACCAAAGACGGAGCATGCAACAGCATTAATGATGACACGCTGAAACTCAGCACCATGATTACGACGACGGTACTCGACTCCATCAGCAAACTTGGGTCTCACAGCTCAAGGTCCTTGAACGCGACAGTGGCTCCAAAAAACTCTGTAGGTGATTGGACCCACGTCAAAAGAGCTAAAGAGGGCCAGCCGTCACAGTCTAAGTCGAACATCCCAGCTGTTGAACGGAAGTTAACTGGTGATCTGGTCTCATAGTCTACCCCCAAGATTGTCCATCCGGTCATCAAAGAGCCCAGGATTCATAAACGTGCTTCGACCTCCAAACAACAAGGTGCTGAACATGAACGCACCAGAAAACCTGGGACGACAATAACGGTTCGTGACGACTCTCTCATAGTCATGAACTTCAAAGACAACCTTGATCTTTCTCTCAGTTTGCAGGACAAAAATGATAGGATGCTCTGGGGAGAATTGAACAAGAAATTTGGACTTCCAAGAATAGAGCCTTTGACAGTCACACGGCTCACTCGGGGAAAGGAATCTAAGCATCAAAATCACCCGAGGCTACTTCGTGTAACACTTAAGAATGCTACCGACGTAGAGGATGTCTTACTAGCGAGTCATTTACTGAAATCAGATGGGAATGTAAGAATACTGCCTGACATACCATATTCTGAGTGCAATCTCATCCGAAACATCCCCAAAGAAACTCGCGATCAGTTTTTCCGCGGGAGGAATATGATCGTGCAAGGTATACCGGAAAATACGGACCCTACTCAATCAAAGACTGACATCAGGAAGTGGAAATTCATCGAATAGTCCTTGAGGCTCAAAAACATACTGACTCAGCATGTGACGAGACTAGCCAAGAAGGACGGTGATCCTAGACCTCGCCTAATGAAGATAACCTTCCCATCTTCCCACATCGCGGCTGCAACTCTGGAAGCATTTCGTGCCAACAGACGTCGACTGCCACCTGGAATCCACATGCACCCGGATAGGCCTT